GGGCAGATAGATGGCTGTAGTCTGTGCATTCACTGTCTTCTGGCCTCTGTGAGTCCCCTGTTTTAGTGAGGGCAGCTAAGAATCTAACTTCTTATTTCCTTCACTTGCTTCTAATTGCTTCCACTCATTCTCCTTATTTTAGCCTTCTTCTTTATCTTCAGTCTGAATGGCCCCTCATTCTGGCAGTTTCCGAGGCTTTTGAGGTCTTTCCAGTGTAAGTCAGGTTGGATCTCATCTTTCTCAGGTCTGTTAAATCATTCACCACTCATCTGTCTGTTTTCCAGCTTCAAAAAACTGTGTTGCTCTTTTCTTCTCCCCTATTCTCCTTTTCTTATAATTTTTATGACACAAGAAAGAAAGAGAAAGAAAGAAACAAAGAAAGGATGGAATGGAGGGAGGAAGAAAAATAGAAATAGAAAAGAAAATCTGTTCAGTGCAGTTTTGGGATGGAGCAAAATTAGCTCCATGCATATATCTGCTGCCTTAGTCTGAACCCCACCCATAGGTATACTCATAGCTGCCTCCTTTGTGTCCTTCCTGTTTCAACTTAAATGCTGCCACCTTAGACTAGCCTTCCCTGACCACTCAACTAGAATTAGGCCCCTATCAACATAGCACTCTCACAACTTGGTAGTTTATTATTTATTTATGGCCTTCTCCTTTAGAATATAAGCTCCAAATAAATGAATGGATGAATGAATGAATAAGTAAATAAAAATAAGTTTTAGAGCTGGGTACAGGGGTGCATGTCTGTAATCCCAGCAACTCAGGAGGCTGAGGCAGGAGGATTGCAGATTCAGGGACAGCCTCAGCAATTTAGCAAAGCTCTAAACAATTTAGTGAAACCCTATCTCAAAGGGAGAAAAAAAAGGCCGAGGATGTAGCTCGGTGATTAAGTGTCCCTGGGCTCAATCCCCAGAACTGGTGGGGGTTGGAAGTGGGGGAAGGTACCTAGCACATGGACAAAGAGCAATAGTTTTGTTTGGAAATAACATTTTGAATATCAAATGAGCTTCAACCTTGTGTGCAATCTATCCTGAACAAAGCAATAGATTGCTATGTTTAAAGGAGCAGATGATGTGATAGATGCTTGCAAGTCCCACAGAATATGAAGAGTAAGAGAAATTGCAGAGGAGGAACAGAATGAGAATCTGGAAGGGTCTGACATTGAAAACTGTGTTCTTGATTTGAGTCAAGGTCATCCTGGATTTCCACTCAACCGCTTCCATGGATGGTCTGACAATCTAGAAGGGATCCACCCCTTCTTCTGGAGCAAAGGGGGACATAAAAGACTAGAAGCAGGGAGAAAAGCAGTGTCTGCTGGTGCCTTCACCTCTTCTTTATTTGCTAGTGGAGGAGAGAAGGGCAGAAGGGGGAAATAAACCTGGGAAGGGTCAGAGAAGCTGGGAGGATGGTGGGTGGCAAGCCCTGTTCTGTAACAGAGTTGTGTGCAGCCATGTTGCATTTAGGACGGAAGCTGTTGTACCAGGAATTCTTATAGTTATCAACCAAGGACATTTGAGGAGATGGACTTTCACATCTCTGCAGGTTCTGAGTTTTTTGTGACCTTTATTTCATTAAAACCAAAAACCTCACCACCATCACCAACACAAAAACAGTTGTAGGTGTTACTATAACAAATTTAGACCTTTTTAAAGAATAGTTAACTTCCTTTCCAATACTATTGACTTTTAGCTCAACAGATTATTTGCAGTTAGTTTTATTTTCTTTTCTTTAAAAAAAGTTAAAATTGGTAATATATCCACATGGTTCAAAATTAAAAAATCATAAAAGGGTATAGAGTGAAAAGTGCCTTTTTCAGGTAACTTTGAGGTCTTTGTCTCTAAGAACATCAGTATAAACAGGTCCTTATGTCCTTCTAGAAAATTTCCCTGCCATTCCAGTATTTCTTTTGGACACTGTTAAATAGGAACAGGACTACTCAGGGCACATGCATACACAGAACCTTTCCTCTAGGTGAGCTGAGGGTAAAGTGTTGGCTCCTCAATTTTACCTGTAAAGAAGCTCCAGTAACAGAAGCCAGTGTAATTTGGGGAAGGAGGGGTTCCTCTGGGTTCTTTGGCAGATGTCACAGGTGAAAAGGAACTGTGCAGGGGGTTTTGGACTTGGTCTGCCAGGTGTCAGGTGCACTCTTCTCACTGTAAGTAGGGATGGCTAAACACATGGTATAGATATGGCAAAAGAAACCACGGCTGTCATTTTTGATAAGAAGCACAGTTTCAATATGGTAGATAAGGGTCTATTTCAAAGAGGATGTTGTGTGGGATACAAACTCGGGGAAAGAAAGTTTTTTTTTTTTAATATTTATTTTTTAGTTTTCGGCGGACACATCTTTGTTGGTATGTGGTGCTGAGGATCGAACCCGGGGGGCACGCACGCCAGGCGAGCGCGCTACCGCTTGAGCCACATCCCCAGCCCAAGAAAGTTGTTTTAATAAGCCACCAAATTATATCTTTATAAAAGGAAGTCATTCTCCTGCTGAGCTATAGGGTTCTTCAATGGAAGAGGGAGCAAAAATAAGAGTCAGATTGTTTGTAGGAAGTATGCCAACAGATTGACAGCAATGGGGTAGGGGTGGGGGGTACAGTTCTGGGAATTAAGTTAGACTGGATCTGACATCTCCTAACTGGAGGTATGCCTGATTCTGAAGGTGGAACACCTCTATGAGGCAGAGGAGGGAGGAACAATCAAAATTGGAAGATTCATAATACTGAAGATTCCAGTGAACCTTTTAAGCAAAGGGATAGCTTTTGAAAGAAAACTGGGGTGGGCTATAGCTGCATCTCAGTGGTAAAGCATTTACCTATCATGCACAAGGGTCTGGGTTCAATCCCCAGCATCAATCCTGGCTCTAGTACTTCTCAGCAGTGTGAATCTGGGTGAGTTACTTAAACTCCTTTTTCCTTAGTTCTCTAATAGGGATAGTACATAAGGGCAATAGTCATGTCTCAGTGGAGTGTTGTGTGATCAACTGAGTTAATCCACAATGAGAGTTTAGAACAATGCCTGGCACCTAGTTAGCTAACTCAATGCTTTTCAGCCATTATTATTTTGAATAAAAGATTGGGCAGACCTGTTTTTACTGGCACAGAAATACTTGGTGATGGATCTGGAAAGGCAGAATCATAGACGGATTTCAGGTAATGACAGAAGGGGAGAATGGAAAGAAAAAGAGTAAACAAAAGCACGGCAAGGACACACCAAGAATTAGGAGGATAAAGTGTTCTCTGTTGGGCTATTCAGAGAAAAAAAAAACCGAAAACAAAACAAAACTTGTTGCATGTTCATTGTTTTGAAAGCTAGATAGTATAAATGAAAATTAAATGGAAAACTTAAATTTCTATTGAAGAAGAATTTGTGTGTGTGTGTGTGTGTGTGTGTGTACCCACTTAGAGCTCAAAGTATGTTGCCATGGATGACCGAGTTGGAGATGGAACCCAAGATCCTTATGAAGTGGTAATCTATCAAGATCATTGTACTGTCATGTGTAACTAATTAAAACAAAAAACAAAACAAAAAGAAGTGGTAATCTAGTCTTAGTTCTGTCACAAGTGACTGATGTTGAGTCAAGTCAACTAATGACTTTTTTTTGTTTGTTTATTTGTTTTTGTTTTTGAGATGGGACCTTACTTGGTGGCTGGACTGGTCTTAAGCTCCTAGGTTCATGTGATTCCCCCGTCTCAGCCTGCAGAGTAGCTGAGACTACAGAGTGTACCACCATATTTGTCACAATGACTGTGTCACTTTTAAAAGGGGCTAGAATAGTTTCTAGGCTCCATGTTTATGTAACTTCTTTGGTCTTAATCAGGGGCAGGGTCTCAAGAGAATTGAATTGTTCTTCTCACTCCTAAGTCTCCTCTCCTGGGGAGGGGTTGGTTGGAAACCAAACAAAAAACTATTAAAAATCAAAGCATCTATCTGGCATTCATTTCTCTTCCCTTAGATACCTTGCCATAGGGAAAAGATTTCCAAATACTGGCATTATGTGTGTGTGTGTGTGTGTGAGAGAGAGGGGGCGGGGGGGAGGCATCTTTTACTTTTCCTATTTCAGGAAAATTTATGTTTTAATTTTTCTCCCGTGATCTGCCTAGTTTTTTTTCCAGATTGAAATGGGAAGAAGTAATTTCAAAAAGTGAGATTCACTGAAAGGAAATGAAGCTTTTTTGCCTAATTTTTTTGGGAGGTTGAAAAGATAGATTGGGATTGTTGGGGTTCAAATTAACCATTTTAACAAACGCTGCACTAGAGTGTGGAATCCAGCTAACTAGAAATATGAGAGACTGATTCGTTAAGGTCTCAGGACACTGGACATACAAATAGGTCGTGTCACACAAATGAGCCACAGGAAGCTTATAAACCCTCAAAAAATGGTATCTTAATTGGGACAGTAGGCTAGGGGATGTGCTGGCCATATAAAACCACTGCTCCTGACTGTGACCCTGAAGAAAAATCTCCTTGCTTAGAAGAAAAATCTTGAGGACATGGCTGCCTGCCAACGAGCTATGGACCTGCATCTTGTTTGCTCATCATCCTGTCAGTCATTTTCTTTCCTCTCTCTTATTTCTCTAAAGAATACAAAAATCTGAATTCAGAAACATCGAGACGTGAGCTTCTTTTCAGAGAGGAAATCGTCACATTATAGAGTTCCGTGCTAATGATTCTTGCCTAGACTTGCGGAAACCAGGAAACCTCTGCCTAGACCGGAGGGGTCCGCACTGCGGGGCGAAAAGCAACACCTCAGCTCCAAACCCAAAGGTTTCAATATCAGCCAATCGCGGTCCGGGACTTCTCGGGACAACCAGAAACTCCTACCGGCGGTGAATAGCACTGAGGAAAGCCTATCTGCGTGGAGGTGGCGGAAGGGGTGGTGTCATAACTAGCCAATAGGATGAAAGTAATTGCTGTTGGGCGGGAGGAAGACCCAGCGAGCGTGCGTGAGGCCGCTCCCGGGAAGCAATGGCAGGAAGCTCTTAGGGCCAATGGCCGCGGCGAGCGGGCAGCGGTGCGCTTGCGCTCTGGGGCCCGGGGCTGCAGGCGGGAGGCGGGCAAAGTGGGGGAGGGGAGCGTGCTGGAGCTCCGTGGAGCTCCTGCAGCCCCGGCAGCCGCCGCCGCCGCCGCCGCAGCGAAGAGGCCATGTTGTGTGGTGTGTGGGGCGGGGGGAGGAGGAGGAGGGAGTAAAGCCGAGAGAGGAGACGGGAGAGACACCACACACACACGGCACAAGATGGCCGGAGAGGCAGCAGCACCCAGAGCTGTCAGACGTTTTGCCGCGGCCAAGGTGCCCGCTGGCTGGCGGGGAGCTGTACTCGGGCGGCCCGGAAACCCGCAGGAACTGGGTGGCCGTGGCTGAGGCGAGGCGGGCCTCGCACGCGTGCCGGAGCTCGTGGCCGAGACGTCCAGGGCTGCCCGGCCCACGACGCCGAAAGCTGGGCTGCGGCAGCGGCCACGGAGGCGCGCCGGGTCCCGGCCGCCTGGACCGAGCGTGGGCGGGAGGCTCGGGCGGGTGGTCAGTCCCGGTATCGAAGATGGAGACCAGAAGGTGCCAGTGGCCGAGTTATACCCGGTAAGTGGCTCCCCGGCTCCTTTTATTGTCCTTTGTCCTTGGGAGGAAAAGCAAAATGTCCTTGAGCGCGCCAGCGGGAGGGGGCGGCGGGCCTCGCCGGCCGGCTTTCCCCACAAAACCCCTGTAAGGTCGCGGCTGCCTCTCCCCGGCGTGATGCGTCTCTGCCGCGGGCCGGGGTCGCGGGCGGGGGTGGGGGCACGCGGGGCCCTGCCGCAGACCCGCGGGTGGGCGGGGGGCGGCTTTGCTGCTGGGACCCGGACTTGGCGGCCGAGGGGCGGCGGCGGGAGACCGCAGGCGGGAGCCCAAAGGGGACCGCACCAGGAGAGCCCCTGCATGTCCCGGTGAGTTATTTTGTTATTTAGGGTAAAAAAATCCTTTTCAGGTTCTCCACCGTGGAGCTTTTTAATCTCTTTCCGGTGGTGAGGTGGGAACTCATCTTAGAGGTCGAATTTAAAAGAACAATGGAACCCTGACTACATTTAAAACAAAAATAAAACTTGTCTTTTTTTTCCCCCCATTGGGTGTTGGCTTTTAACTCTTTCAAAGCTGATTTTGAAAACGGCTGCAGTGTTATAGATGTGAACAGTGTTGCTGTTTATTAAATCTTTTATAACGTTAAGGTTATCTTTTAAAAATGCAAGTTGGAAGAGTGCATCTAGTGTTTCAAAAATTACGAAGACAAGTTTAGTGTATCGTCTAGGCAGTTTAATGGGTATAGATTTGATAATTACGGTGCTAGATGATGACGTTTGATTAATACAGTTTATTTTACGGAGTAATTATTCAAGTTCATTTGACATCCTGGTACCTGAATATGGTTAAATATACTGTTTGGTACTTTTAAAAAAGGTCGTAAGGAGCCCTTATCTGTAACTTATCACACCTGAATGTTAAAACGTAGTTGGGTCAGTTCCTAGTCTTTAAAAGTTGAAGTTCATCATCTTTTCGTTTTTTTTTTTTTTAATTGTATGTTGTTATAAACCATGATCGAAAAACTTTTACAAAGGAGTATTCTGACACAAAATCTCTTCGTGAAGTTACTTTCTCGTAGTGTAAATATTAAAGTAGGACTGCTGTCGGTAATGGGCGATGAAGAGGAGCCATATTTGTTGCATGTATAAAAATCTAGATGGCTTAAAAACGGCATAGTATTTTGAAAATACAGGTTTCAAAAAATTGTAACGTTCTCTGTAGTCTCTAATTGTGAAAATCTTTGAAGGGGAATTTAAGTTTAATGGTTTGAAGAACAAACCAGGAATGCACAAACCTTTGTGTATTTTAGAATATATTTGTCTTCATTCTGCGGAGCTCTTGTGTTGAAAGGGTACAGATCTGCGTAAAAATAGTGTTAGGAAGTCTTACGTAGTACATCTGAAACCCAAGATTCTGGTTTATTTGACCACATATTTAAAGGTATTTTTACCAGTAAAATTGCTTTTGAATAGCTTTGGCATAGTGGTACATGTTACATCAGTTGCGTATATCTTCATTTTACAGAATGTTGTTTCAGATTCTAATTTTAAGAGCTGAGTTTGGTCCTTTAAATCAACATATTTGAGGTTTTTGAACATTGACTGTGGTTTTAATCTAGTCTTTTAGAATCTAGTTCTTTAGAAAGAAACCTTTTTGAAGAGTGAAATGCAAAAAAACTGCTAGCAGTTTTAACATCATAAGATCTTTTTACATGTAAATGGAGGAGGAGAAAGACTGAAAATATCCAAGACCCTGGTTTGAAATTAAGTAATGGTAAACATACTTCAAGTTTTAGACTTGTTTAAAAGACAAAGCTAATATCCCACTTGATGAGATCAAATAACTTGTAGTTTAAAATTTAAAGTAACCAGTGGCCATTTTAAACTTCATTAATTTCTCCAGAAGCAGTCAATTTTTAATTAGTCATAACTAAAAGGAAATTTTGAGGTGATTACATTATTTAAAAATGGTAAACTTTTCCTTTGTTTTGTTTATTGCCAGGCATCAAAAGAGGAAAAATAAAAACAAGGTCATAATCTCAAATCTGTTTAAGGAGTCAAATTTTCTCTATATCTTTTTAATAATTTCAGTGCCTTAATCCTTAGTATTTGTCAATACCACCAAAACGTGGGAAACAAAGACTGATACATAGTAAAGATAAGAAATATCTGCAATCATAAATGTACAGGTTGTGTGTCTATGAATCATCTCTTTAATTTGTCCATAGATCTTACATTTGAAATACTCTCTTATTGTTTCATCACATTTAATTTTTGGCCAAGAAATGTTTAAAAATCAAAACATTGATATCAATCTTTTTTTTCTTTTTCTTTTTTTTAAGGTTACTTACAGAGTTTAAAATTAATTTGCTGATGGTTTGAACAAATACATCTTTTATCCCAGGTAAGATCTGGTAAATTTTTATTGCTTTGACATAAAATTAACTTCTTATGATTTGTTTTTGTTTTTTATTGATTATATTTCAAATAAGCAGTGAATGTTAACGTACGACTTTTTAAAATAGTGATTATGAATTGAGTAGGTATCTGAAATCATTAAAAAAGCCTTTAAACCTTTTCAATGAATGAAAAATTAAAAGAATCTGAGCATGGCCATTGTAATGTAATGTTGCCATGAATAGTTTAAAATGCTGAAAATCTGTTATGCCTTTGTTTAATTTTGGAAACAAGAAAGACTGATTTATTTTGGGGGAAATCTATGTACCAAAGAGATATTCTTTTCTTTTCATCTCTAATATACCATGCAAATGGTTTTAATTTTCTAAATATTTGAAAAAAGTAAATACGTTGGAAAATTTGAATTGGTTTGCTGTTTATACTTATCAACTTCAGGGAAGAACATTTTAAAAATCAGTTTTGAGCATAGATTTCAGTTTTTGTTTTTTTTATATAATTAGTTGTTTTTTAATTTTTACTTATTGTTGATTGCTTCATTAGTTACTTAGAATGCTATGTTTTTTTTCCCCTCCTAAAAGGTATGTCATTTTGAAGACTGACATTGTACTTTTATCCTTGAGGATTAAGGAGATCTTTGGGAAAGTCTGTATTTTATCTAGTAAGTAAGTAAATGTTTTATCCAACATCTGTATTTGAGTAGTTGACTGAAATTTCGGTAGGAAAATATCACTAAAGTTTGTTAATGAGACATAAACCGAACTAGAATTCTTATCTGTTAAAAAAAAGGGGGGGGGGGGATGTAAAAAGATCCATTAAATTACATCAGAACACTTTTGTATTACTATTAAAATAGTTGATGCATGGTAAAATGCATATGATTTACATTGATGAATGTAATTATATGGTACATTATGACATTTAATACCTCCCTATAAAATGGTTCTTTAGGATTACGGTTAAATTTGTAGTAGAGTCATTAGTATATATCATTATAATGTAGAGGTACATTCCTTACCTATTTTTTTTTTTAATGCTACAGCCGAATTTTAGGGATGACCTAGATTTTTGCATTTGCTGATTGAAAGATTCTTTAAACAGCTACAATTTCAAAATCCAAATATGCACTATCATATCCTGGTTTTTATTAAATGTATTTAAAATAATCATTTCCCTTCTTCATTAGTTTATTTTTAAACAGATATAAAAATTAGCTATTTTCCAGGAAACTAGAGGTATTGCACATAAAGAAACCTTTGATTTATAGCTTAGTAATTGTTTTTAAACCATAATAGGTAGAAATAGTATTCAATCATAAACCATGGAACCAATACATTAACATCTTAAAACTGGATAAGTGAATGAAGAAAATATGCCCACTAGTACTTTTAAGGAAATGTTTTCGTTCATACAAAGATAACATTGAATTTAGAAGTTAATGTCAAGTTGTTATTAGTAAGTGATTGGCCAGAGGAAATATGAAATAAAATGAGAAATAGTTTGGGAACTTTTAAGAATAGACAAATAATTAAAATAAGGGCAAGTTTATCTTTGTTTTTGGAATTTATGTGAAAAATAAAGTATAATCTTTTTATTTGTTGGTGTTGGCTTATTCCATTGATCCGAATAGGTGATAAGGGGCATTTTTATTGTTTTTGTTTTTGCTTAACTTTTCCTTTTCAAGCCTTTCAACAGTTTGATTAAATTTTTGTTTATTATTTTGTGCAGAAAGAAATGTATAACTTAACTATATAGTGTCTTACAGGTAGAACCTACTGAAAAAGTTGACTTTCTTCATTCCAGGGTTCTTTAATACAAATGCCAAGATTAGATTCACTCTGTGCAATTTGATAAAATATCAAATTGGCATTCATGAATTGGGCATTGTTAGAAAAATTGAGAATTAGGTATTTTCTATAAAGTGTAAGTTCTAAGTACAAATAGGTGACATATTTATAATGGCCTATCAAAGGTGTAGTTTGATCTGTTGGAGGAAAAAATGAGTTTAAGGTGATAAATTTTAAATGAGGCTTTTTTATCTTTCACTTCGTATTAGTAATTTTTTAACAAGACTTCCAAGTGATATAGTAACTAAATTAATCCCCAGTCTAATGGGATATAGCTTTGTTATAACACACGAGGTATAAAGGATTAGAATAAATCACATTTTATAAAGATCTACATGTGCTTGGATCCTTAATAATAATGCTTATATTCTGTGTTTGAATATTTATTGCTTGAGCCAATCTTATATAGGGGACATATTTGATCGGCATACGAGGGCAAATGTGAATGTAGATATTATTCTACATTGGTAAAATTATATTATCTATAAGATGCATAGTAGATGGTGTATATAGTATTATATTGCTTGAAATTGTTTAATAAGAAAGGTAAGTTATATACTAAAGTTTCCTGCTTAAGAACCAAAGTGACATATTTGTATCACTCATACCAAGTGATAACATTTTAGCATTTTGGAATAATGCTTGTATTATAAAAATCTGGTGATTATGTGATTAGGTTGGACTGCATTTGATTTTCTGTTTAAAAAAATTCTTGACATTCCATAGGAATGAAAGAAGCTGTGCTGTAGCTAGGTCACAGGTATTATAAACAATGACCTGACATTTAGAGTCTAGACTATATGAAATAGGTAATTTTCTTGAAGTTTAGTTTTCTATTTATAGTTTCTTAACTATTAAAAAATTTGGGCTATGAACAACTAGTTAATTTTTTTTCTCTGAGATTTTTATTGTTTGTGGAAAGGCGTAATTGAAAAAGAAAGATAATTTGAGGGCATTTCTATATTCTGCTTTAATCAAAGGTGAAAAATATAATCAAAATTCAGCTAAATTAGGAGATCAGCTTCTAATGTAGCAAGCTCTGCAGTCTTGACATTTATTTTATAGACCTTCATCCTCTTAATTTATATGAAGGCTTTAGAGTTTATAATCTCTTAAAATCACTCTTAGCTCTTAAATTGTGATAAAAATAATGGTAAGGAATATTTAATTCTCATGCAGACTCATTTTTGCATTACAAGTTGTGTTTTTTCTGTGTTGAAGCTGTTGGAATAACGTAATACCTGGGGTGATAGTATACTTGACTTTCTCATTGATTTTTGGTCATTTCCAAATATTAGTAATAGAAATAGATACACTGGAAAATTAATTAAGGTGCAAAATTGTCTTTAAACAATAAGGATTTAGAATGCTGCAATAAAATTATTTTTTGGTTTTTCTTTTTTTTTTAAAATTTTTTAGTTGTACATGGGCACGATATCTTTATTTTGTTTATTTATTTTTATGTGGTGCTGAGGATTGAATCCAGTGCCTCACATTTGTGAGGCAAGTGCTCTGCCACTGAGCCACAACCTTAGCCCCTATTTTTTGTTTTTTCTATTTATTACTTTAATAAAGACATTTAATCTGTTGAATATATTTTCATAAAATCTTTGTAGTGTACAACATTATAAACAAGATGCTTGTAGTTTGCATGCCTGGTATAATCTGTTTAACTTCCTTTAAGAATTTTATGCATTTCAAAGATAAATGTTCTCATTTTTACCTGCTACCTTCCCCTTTCAGATGGATGCAAACTTTTCAAATTGGCTATTAAATATAATTATATTCAAAAAGGTCCTTATAATTTAAATTGAAGCGAAATGTCATAAGTAATATGTTACTTGACATTTATGTACCAATTATGTGTTATATTCTGTATAACAATCTGGCAAAAAATTTGATTTATGTATTATGCAATACTTGATAGGTCCATGTTTCAGAAAACAATCCTTTTATATTTGAAACTAAGTCATTTGTTTGAAATTGAGTATTTCCTAAGCAAGCAATTAAGTCTTTAAATTGTACTATGTGATGATCATAATAATTTTAATTTAGGTTATCAAGCTATTTTTTTTTTTAACTGTAATGGTTTTTGACTTGTCTTAAAGAATTAAGTTTTCTTAGGATTCCTAATGACTTTATAGTATAACTATCATTATAGTTGTAATGATAGTTTATAACTATCATTACCCTATTTTTAAGATTCCTATGTTTCACATGGCTCTAGATTTTAGACTTAATTTAAATTTTCAAAGTTTTTAAAGGAATTTTAAGTAACTAAAACCTTTTATTCTAAAAGATCCAGTAACAAATGGTAATTCATATAATTTGTTATTAAATCATAAATTATAATGTTGGGAAATATGTAGGACAGAAATACAAGCAAAACATCAACTTTAATAGTCTGTTTAAGATGAACGTGACTCTTCCATTCCCAGTTTCAAAGGATGGCATAGTACAGACTTTATCAATTTTGAGAAAGGAGACACTGATATCAGTCGTTTTTCCTGAGGGTACAAAGTAAAGATACAAGTTCTTTTTTTCGTTTTGCTGTGGGAGAACCCCAAAGCACATATTTGTGGTACTACTAGCTAACCTGTTTGTTAAGTAGATTATCTGATCAGTATTAGGGATTTCCCTTAGAAATTTCTTTCACTGAAATTCTTTTTTAAGTCAAGCCTGTACAGATGACACCTGTCATCCCAGCAGCTTGGGAAGCTGAGGCAGGAGGATCCTGAGTTCAAAGTCAGCCTCAGCAACATAGTGGCTCCCTGGATGGTTAAGTGCCCCTGGGTTCAGTCCCCTGTACAAGAAAAGACAAGACTAAGTCAGCTCTTCCTTTCTCTAAAGGATTAAATCAGTTATTTTAGATGGTTGATTTAAGGTTCGTCTTCATAAAATCTTCTTTTCCTTATAGGGTCAGATTAAATTTAGAAGCTTTAAAGTGTATTTCTTTTGAATTGCTTCAACATTTTGGGAAGTCATGTTTTAGTATACATATTTTTAAAAAAAAATTTTTGTACTGGGAATTAAGCCCAGGAGTGCTTTACTATTGAGCTAGTAAAGCACCAGTTCTTTTTAAATTTTTTAAATTTTGAGACAGGGTCTCACTAAGTTACCTAGGGACTTGCCAATTTGCTAAAGATGGCCTTGAATTTGGGATCCTCCTGCCTCAGCCTTCTGAGTTGCTGGGATTACAGACATGTGCCACCATTCCTGGCTAGTGTCTATTCTTAAAAGTAATTTAAAGTCAGCTCTTTGTTATATTCCTTGATAATGATTTGTCAAAATGAAATTTAGATTTATATACCCTTTAACTTGAAAGCTAGTCCTTCAACAGCATTTTGGTACCTTAGTTTTAACTTAAATCTTAAAGGTAAGCTCTGCCTTTTGCTGTCTAAAAACTTTAAATTGTTACATATTTTTATTGAACTTTGAAAGAGTATTATTGTATCTCTACTTCTTTTTTTTTTAATGTGGAACTGGAGATAGGACCCAGGGGTGCTGTATTCCTGAGCTACATCCCCAGCCTTTTTTTCTATTTTGAGATAGGGTCTCGATAAGTTGCTGAGGCTGGTCTCAAATGTGGAACTTCCTGCTTCTGCTTCTTTAGTGGGATTTCAGGTGTGTCCCACCAAACCCAGTTTTATTTCGCTGTAAACCTAGGGCCTTGTGCATATCAGGCAAGTGATGTAAGACAGAACTAAATTCTGTCTTACATATTACTATCTCTACATATTACTGTGATTATATAATCATTTAGAAACAGGACTAACTACAAAAGTATATACCTGGATTCAGAAGGTATTTGAGATATGGGCTAGGCGAGGTGGCACACACCTGTAATTCCAGTGGAGGCTGAGAATAGGAGGATTGTGAGTTCAAAGCCAGCCTCAGAAAAGCAATGCCCTCCGCCCCAAAGGTATTTGAGATATGGGAAACACTGTTTTTCATGTTAACTTATCAGACATTTAAGTCTAACTAGTGAAAAGCATAGTAGTTTATTACCAAGTACATATTTTATAGAGGGTTAGTGTTGTTTAGTTCCAGTAGATCAGTCAATTAGTAGTTTGAAACCATGCTTTCAGTTTTCTAACACTTTATGTTAGTGTTGATTATGTACATGCTTATGTACATTATGTTGAATATAATACATGATAATGTGAAATAATGTGGTAATATCAGTGGATCATTTTTGAGAAGGCTTGAAAGTAAATTAGATGAAAGACCAGAAGATGAAATAATTGTGCATCTTTGGGAGTGATGTTGGCTTTATTTTCAATTCTGGCTGCCCATCAGATCTACCTAGAAAACTCAAATATTTTCTTAATCTGTTAGAGTTCATGGGGGCTGAGATTTAGGCTTATAATTTTAGTGTGATTTATTCTAAAAGTGAACCAAATTTAAGATTCTTCAGAGCTTTTCTGTCTTGTGCATGACCATATTGTTCACAAATACATGTTTACCTTGGTTTGTTGGTGAGTGATCCTTATAAGATGTTAAAATTTCTGTATGAATTATGGTATACATTTTGGTATAAACAATCTTATTTTTGCTGAGTGTGGTGGTGCATGCCTGTAATTCCAGTGATTCAGGGAGCTGAGGCAGGAGAATTACAAGTTCAGGCCAGCCTGGGCAATTTAGTGAGACCCTGTTTCAAAAAAAAACCTGGGATGTAGCTCAGTGGTGGAGTGTTCCTTGGTTTCAGTCACCAGTAAGGCCCCTACCCCCCTAAATTCATTTTGTAGTTTACTATGTATAAAATTATATTCTTTGTGTCTTCTACAGAAGTATGACTCCCCAGACAGAACAGTCTAAAGGGCCCATACAACATAGTAATCATTGGTGGAAACATTTAGTAAGTATTATTTAATTTACATGTTTAATCTGCTTGTAGTTTTAAATTGTGAATGAACCTTTTTTTTAGTCGGAATTATAAAAATATAGCAGAATTTAGCAAAGCTAAAAAATAGTACAAGAATACCAGTATGGTAATGTGTGTAAAGTTTGATAATCACATTTTTACTTACTAATTTTACCTATTTTCTGTTTCATTACTTAAACTTAGATAAAATTAAAATGTGAACAAACTCACAGTTGAACCTGTTTTTGACATTCTGTCTTAGATCTGGATGTTGGAAACTTACCCTTGTTTTTGTAAATAAAGTTTTTCTTTGCAGTATACCTGTACTTTTTCATTGATATGCTTTGTGGTTGCTTTCACTCTATAGTATTAAGAGTTGAGCAGTTGTACCAAATAGCCACATAACCTAAAATAATTTACTACCTGATCCTCTAAGGAAAGCTTGCTGACATTTGTTCTAGATCTGTCTTTACTTGTTAACTTAATCTTGCCTATGTATAATTCAGGAGTCCTTGGGTTCTCTTTGGGTAATACAACATACTTTTTAAATGATTTTCAGTATTGTAATTGTTTTGAATAAATTAGGGAATTCTGTTCCTTAAATTTGAAAGCCCAATACTGAGAAGTAGTGAGAAAGAGTATGGTGGGTGGTTTTGTTTAAATGGATTTGGATGAATCCTCAAATGGATTTATTTGTCATCAATAGGGCTTTTTAGGTAATTGTATACTAGCTACTTCATAAGAGTAATTCTTTTGAAATATTTGGGAGTCTAGTTCTAGAAATTTTTCTGTTAATTTCTACCATGGCTTCCCGTTGTATAAATGGCTACCAAGGCCTGCAAAATGTTTGTTCCTTTGTTTTTTTGTATTTTGATGAGGGAGAGGAAGCACAAAGCTGGAAACTTTCTTAATGTACAGTTACTAGGTTCATTTCTGATCATGCTTTAAAGAAGTTAGTTGCATTGTACATAGTAGATGCTCAATAAATACTTGTTGATTTATTATATAGTTTTTGTTAAACATCAACTTGTATTTAGAATTTAAAAAAATGAAAATGAAATTCATTATTAAAACAAATGTTAAATATTAATTTTTAGAAAACCAAAATTTTGACTCAGTTAAAATTAAAACTGATTATCTTGATATTCCCCCACCTCCCCTAATTCTTAACTTGGTTAATACGTAGTCAAGTTTAAAACTAATAGGTACAATTGGAAATATTTGATTGAGTTGTAAAACTTCCTGGGTTCCTTTTCTTGGTTATTATAAGTGACCTTTTTCTTCTAGTAAGCTGATCTTTTTTGTAGTTAGTTTTTATGCCTATCTTTTATAAGACCCAGAATTGTTTATATATTCTATTGAGGATTTAAGCAATTTTTTAAAATAGTGCAGTATAATATGAGTTCATCTTTTAGGGTTTTCTTACATAAATTTTTATTGTATTTAAAGACCAAGTACAGATGAGATTGAAATCATATTGTAAGCACCAAGATTCTCAGTTACATGGTGGGGATGGATGAATTTTTGCTCTGATTTGTAATTTTGCATCTGTTTGATTCTTTGATTTTGAAATGTGTTTAAATTTTAAAATAATATATATAAATTACCTTAATTTAATGACAGTTTTATTAGAGCCACCTATTTTATTTTTTGGTATAGGGATTGAACCCAGAGGTGCACAACCACTGAGCTACATCCCTAGTCCTTTTTATTTTGAGATGGGGGTCTCACTAAGTTGGTTAGGACCTTGCTAAATTGCTAAGGCTGGCTTTGAAGTTTCAATCCTCCTACCTCAGCCTCCTAAGCTGCTGGAATTAACAGATGTGCATCACCATTCCCAGCAGAGCCACCTTTTTTAAAAATTAAGAATCATCAATCATTTTCATGTACTCGTTTCTTTCCCCCATATTTTTATTTGCTATTAAAAATGGCATAGTTTGCTGAGAAGTAGTGGTAGACTGTTTATGGAGTCCTCCTTAAACCCAAACCAGATAAAGCCATTTCTTGCATCTCAGTTTACAGTGTAGTTTCTACTGGCCCAGTGTTTTTGCAAGAAATTTACTGAAGTACAAATGCAAGAAAAGACTTATATGCTCATTTCATGTTCTTATTTTCCCTAAGTGGAGGATTTGAAGGGCTAGTAGTTAATCATTATCCTGTTGCCATTGAAACTTTTGCCTTTGCTGTGGGACTTGTTCTTGGAACAAGAATATATTCCTTGAAATATAAACCTAGTGAACACTGAAGTGGGAAAATTCTAACTATTCACATTATGAGCTTGAGCCTTATGTGTGAAGCACAGAAAAGATGTAGGTCTTTTTAATTATGGAATTCTAGACTAAAGCATCATCTAGTAAGTATGTCTGTAGTAATTCATGAGTTACTGGAGAGGAAAGTGGAGTAGGGCTTTGATAAGTGAAACCTATCCAAGGTTTTTTTTGAAGGATACTGATTATATTTTAATACAATACTCCCTCATTAAATTGGAATGTGTTTGTTTTTAAATAATTGGTCCTACGATCCTATGTGTTCTTCTGAGATAGCCTTACTTTTAATACAGATTATTTTCATTTGGTATTTGAGGTGCTTAAGTAATCTGCTTAGTGTGGTACATTGGGACGATAGCCAACATTTGTTGAGATCTTTCTATATGCCAAATAATGTGTTACAAACACTAATTCATTTAATCCTTACTATTGCCAGAAGAGGTAGATAATACAATTATTTCTGTTTCACAGATGATCTATGGATTTTGTTAGTAAGAAAATTTCCAGCCTCACAGAACTCATGGCTAATTCCCTTCTCATTTTTAAATAAAACTTCGCTTATTTACAAATTTAGTGTTTATAAGAATTTGAAACTCCATGAATATAAATGGATTACCTCTGAATCCCTCATTGATATTTTATTAGTTCTGATTCTTGTATTAGTGCTTTTGCTTATTAGCAAAATTCTCACTTTTGGCTTTGTATTGATATGCAGGAGTTTAGATTGATTTTGGCTTTACAATGTCATAAGAGTTGTCTGCTTTTTCTAGTAGCATTTTTTCTTTACAATTTTCTTTTTCTATCTTAAATAAATGGTTTTGTGATGGTATGACAAATACTGCTACTATTTTCTAATCTAATATTGTCATATAAACTAGTGCATTTTTTGAATAATTTTGAAGTCATTTGATTGCCTTTTGATATTTTTACTACTTTGTTTTTTAAATAATAGTCTTGGAAAGAAATTTCATATTATCATCCAAGTTTTACCTCTTGTTCCTTGGCAGGATATAAATCAGTGAGTTTCTCATTTAATGTACCAAAATGAATAAATAGCACCTGTAGCTGTTAGTGATTGTAACATGTTATTAATGAATTAGTGTCGTTATGCATCATAATTATTTATATCACCAATATAATTTAGAGCTTTATCCTTCATTGTAACAATAGAGATCGAGGAGAATTTGGTTTATAATTAACGGTGAGTAAGAAATGATGGAGCTGGGGTAGTGGTGCATGCCGGTAATCCCAGCTGCTTGGGAGGCTAATGCAGGAGGATCAGAATTTTGAGGCCACCCTCCTCAATTTAGTGAGACCTTATCTCAAAAAATAAAAAGGGTTGGGGATGTGGCTAAGTGGTAGAGAGCCCCTATAGTGGTTCAATCTCGATATTGCCCTTCCCCCTCAAAGGGAATGGTATGTTTGTATTAAAAATAGCCATCATTTCTTAATTTCTAAGAAATATATAAGACAAATTGAAGATACTTTATTACGGGAATGAATGAGTTATTTCTCATTTTAAGACGGGAGAGAACTCCAAAGTCTATTAAGAAATATCTTACTTTTGAAGGTAACAATTAATCACTCATTTCTTTTTTAATAGGGTGGCAGGATCTTTTTGGTTTTGTTATGTAATAGACAACATATTCTAATAATAGTCAGAAATGGAAATTTACATTCAATGAGCAAAAAATGACTTTATATTTATTTTTCTACAAGTTAGTCCTATCTCTGTAAATTGAGATTGAGAGTTGTAAGATTTATAGAGAAGAAAGGGTAGAAACTTGTTTTTGCATTTATGTTTTATCAAGATGAATCCAGATAATTTTCTTAGTGGTAAAATCACCTGGCTTCTCACTGTTCCATTAGTCCAAATTATTTAAATTATAGTTTTATTTTTCTTTGAGGAATATTTGATATTTTGGCATTGTGAAAGTATTCAGTTGTATGCTGTTTGGAAATTGATATCATTTTACAGCAAATACCCAATAAGCAAGGTAGACATTTTATGTTTTTCATTTTTTTTCCTGGTGGCTTCATATTTTCTGATGTGTAAGTAAAAATGGTGCCATTTATATAGGCCATTTGTATTTATCTAAACAAAATTAACATGTTAGACTAGAAAAGTATGCTATGATCTTCTGCTTTTTTTTTTTTAATCCCTTAAGATTCTTTTCTATAATTAGTTTTTTTTGAAGGCGCTTGGAAACTTTTCTGCATTGAGATTTAGAATCCACAGTGTTTCTGTAATTTTAGCTTTCCAGGAATTTTGAATTTGAATTTTTGTTCTTTCTTTTTGTGTACCCAGTATGATACTAGTATTAAATATTAAAAATTTGACTCTCTAGTGCCCCTTTTTATTAGATACAAATGTAGCTGACAGAAGAACTTAGTTACTTGTGTAAGTTTTTCATTGATTCTGTTTTAGAAGTCCTTGCATATAACTTCAGTATAATAGTTTCATAAGTGTATGTAAACTGTTAATGGAATTAAAAGTTTGGGGTATGGTAGGATATCTTCATGGTGGGCGGATGTTTTCTGTTTGAAGGAATAAGATTATTGGTATTCCAACAGCATTTTTTTCTTTAATTTTTTTTTTTTTTTTTTTTTTTTTTTTTTTATCAAGCACCCAGTCAGCTTGAAGAGTCTCAAATGGACCTTACCACTGAGAAATCAAGATGGCAGTCCACTATGGGGACATGAGGAAAATGGATTAATACAAGAGTGCTGTGATAATACACAACCAAGACAGGGTTCTTTTAACATCGATTCCATGAAATGAATGAATGAAGATATAGGTTTCTTACCCAACACAAATGGACAGTGGATTTTACTTTCAAAAAACTTTTGTATCATTAAAACCAGTGCATTTTTGACCTTGGAGAAGACAGCACGGTAGTTTGTATGCTTGGAATTTTTTGCCTTTTGATTTGTTTTGAGCATGACCTCATGGAATGTTATCTTTAATAAAATTTCTAACACTTAAAAATTTCTCAGTTTGGGCCTTTTTTTTTTTTTTTTTTTAAAGTAGAAGTCTTGTGTTCAGTTACCGCCTTATTAACACTTTGACTTTTACAGTTGCCCAGCAGTATAGTATAGTGAATAAAGCTGGTAAAATGAAAATGGTGTGCTGGAAAGTGTTTTATTTGGCTGATTAAGATTTAATGTTTTTGACCAAGCTTTACAAATTTATTTGTTCTTTGGGATGGTCATTTGATTAAAATGTGATTTTGTGTTTATAAGTTTTGGGTGAATTCCTTGAATTTGTATTTTTTTAAACACCTTGCAAAACAAGTTAATCAATGGATAATCAGAGGATATTCAGTGTGCCATCATATTTTAGTAAGCTTTTGAAACAGTGTTTGTTGCCCTCAAACTCAGTTATTTCTCTCTCAATTATCCTTTGTTGGTTGAAATGATGGTCCCTTTACCTTCGCTTTTTAATATTACAAATAAAACATCTTGCAATAGAATATTCATCTAAATATTTAAGTTAAACTGATGTCTCATTGTCTTAATATTGGGGGAAGATGTGTTGGATTTATAGGGAAGTGTCTTTAGGGTCTATACAAAAAGACGTAAATAGTTTGTGGTAATGTGTATAATACAGTTTATGTACATTTCAAACAGGATTGGTATCTTGTGCCTTATTGTTACAATTGGTTATTTAAAATGAATCACCATGCCATATTATTACCTGTGTTTGAATTTCAAGTACCAGGTTCTCATTTGTTGCTGATAACTAATAATAGTTACTATAATATTATTAAGTTGATATGCTTTATTTTGATAGAACAAATGAATCATTGATCATATTTTCTCATAGCAGAATGAAGAATAGTTCAGGTTAATTTTTTTTGTTAGAAATAATCATAAAGGGTTTGTGATTAATGTCAAATATAATAGTGGACAAATCTATGGTCAATATTCATTTAGTATTTGTTCTGATTGATTGATATGAGGGGCTGTTTGATCTTTGTGTGTGTTCCAAAGTGCAGTTGTGGATCTTGATTTTGATACTGAAGTTTTTATAGAATTGAAGGAGTTTTAATTGTGGATTTTATGTTTACTTAGATTCAAAATTGTTGTTTTTGTTGGTTGTAAATCTAAAATGGATTTCTGTAGTGAGGGAAGGACATGGTTCTGACAAAAATATAATTTTGAGTAAGGAAAGTTGAGTGGATTTTTTTTAGGAGACATGAATGTGTTGTCTGCATGGATGCTTGATGAGATCATTGACTAATAGTTTTTGACAACAGTAATAATTTTGTTTCTTTAGATCTTATGGTTTTGATCTTTAGGAGACTGCTCTGTGACATTACCTTGATAACTTGCCATCAGATCTGATCTATTGTTAATAACCTATCTTTGTTGAAATGGGTATACACTTAAAATTTAATTTGAAGTAATAAGGAAATGGTTGGGAGATGTGTGTGTTCTGTTGATGTTTGGAAATGGAGTTTCTTGGGTTTCTGATTTAAAGGTGACCATGGTTGGTCCTTATTCTTGAATTTGAAGTACTTTGTTTTGCCTAAATTAGTGTGGGAAGAAAATATAATACTGAGAATGTTTTGTTGGGTGAAGATCCAGGGTTATATAATGGGTTAATGATTTTTGTGTACAAAGAAATACTGAGATTTTTGGGAAAAAAGATTGTTAACTTTTGCTCTACTGCAAGTGAACACTAGGGAGGCGCTCTTGAGTTGTAAAAATTACCCCTTTCTTCCAGTTGGGATTGAAAATTCCCCCTTAAACTTTGTCTTTAAATGATTTTAAAGCATCATGAAGAATGCAAGGCTTGAATTTAATTTATAAAATTGAGGTTTTACTTTTATTTAGAAAACATTTTACCCATGGGGGGTTAATTTTTTAAAAAGATGTGTACTTAAGCTGAGCTATAGATTTTCCAAGAATTATCCCTATTTCAAAATGGCTTGATAAAACACCACTTCCTGTCCAGGGAGGAAGTTATTTTAGCTCAAGGATTGAAATATTTAGCAGATCTTTAGACAAAAGGAACAAATTACATTTCTCTCTGGCTTAAAAAGGGTGCATGAGCCAGAGGGGGTTAAGAAGCCCTTCCCCCTCCCCCTGTTGGGGTGGTCTGGAGGGGCAGGGAGGTGTGGGGGTGGGGGTCTTCAGGCTCCCTGGGATGGAGGATCTTTTTTTTTTTTTTTTTTTTTTTTTGGGGGAGATGAAGGGGGGGGTCTATGGTACATCACCTGGGTTGTGGGGTAAATGTAGAGAGTGTCAATCAAAGGCAGAGCTCTCAGAGCTGGGAAGGAGGCTCTAGATGGCGGCTGTGCCTTAGAGAGAGCGCGCTCTGCTCCCTGCCTTTGCCTCACTTTACGCAACTTTCCCTAACTTTCGGGCAGCCTCAGGGGGCCCCCGCAGCCCCCTGCCTCTCCTAGTGACTTACTGGGGTCGATTTGAACCTTTTTTAGGGAGAAAAGCAGCTTTTAGGAGCTTTCTTTTCGTGCCTTGTTGGAAAGAAGCAGCCGTACTGAGAGCCCAGGTCGTTGTTTTTTCCAGCTTAGAAGCCATGGCGCACCTCCATTTTTGTGCGCTCTCCTAATGAGGTTTTTTTTCTTCCGGACCTGTTTTAGTATTAATTATTGCTTTATTTTTTAAACAGTTAACATATTTGAGGATTATTTTATTTATTTTTCGGTTTTAAAGGAGGATTTTTGCCTTTATTTTTAATTATTTTGGATCTGATATTTTTCTACTACTAGATAGGACTCTTGCTTTGGACATTACTACATGGATCAGGTAAGTTCACTATCATTAGTGATAATTTCAAAGATTTATGTGTTAAAGTTTGCTTTATTTTCTGTAAATAAGAGAAATTCCTGGATGACGCAATAAGATACAGAGATTGTTATTTGTATCCAGTGTGTTACTTTGAGAAACTTTCCTTATTGATAGTGATGCTTTCAGTGTTTGGTTTATCCTGTTTCTTTTTTTTAAGGAAAAAATGGAAATATTTCTGTATTTTGGTGCTTATTGTTGTTGCATTATAACAATATCATTAACATCGTCAGGACTTTGTTCCTGATAATAAAAACCATCCATAGGAGCCGGGACCTTACCTTTCTTTCAACTTTTGACAGTAAATACCTGGGCACAGGACTTCAAAGCAAACAGATTCCCCCTCCCCCTTAATATTTAAGAATTAAAAAGATGATGAGAAATAAGGACAAAAGCCAAGAGGAGGACAGTTCGCTACACAGCAATGCATCGAGGTATGAGCTATCAACTTTCTTCCTTTTTGTCTTTTTTTGGGGGGGAAACCTCAGCTTACAATTGTTTACCTTGACAGACATGTAATGCTGTCTGTGTTATAAGTATTTTTCTGATTTGGATTAGTTTTTAAAAGCGTGACCTTGAGATTGCTAATATGCCACACCCTAATTTTTTGGTCGCATTTTGCGAAAGTTGAGTTGTGACTTAAGGCCTCTTAGAGCAGTCAAAAGGTAAGGTACCTTTATTCAAAGGGGCCTTTCCTGTAAACTATAGTTTTTCTGTTAGTAAATTTCAGTTTTTAGGTTTTTGTGCTGCAGAAAAATGACCTTGTCGGTTTAGCCATTGCTGCATTGCACCATTTTACATACAAGGCAAATTTTTTCTTTGAAGAATCTCGGATATCCAAACTTGTAACTGAGGGCCATAGAGGAGCCTTGTAGTAGTAAATTATAGTAAATAGACATTTGAGAAAGTTATATGAATGAAAAAATGTACATTTAAAAATGAAATTGCAAAAAGGACACTTTGACTGATGCCTCTCAGTTTATATTTTTATTTGACTCTACATTTCTTTTGATACACTTGACAATTTAGGAATTTTTGATGATTTATCAAAACCTTTACTTGGTAGCAGTCCCTGAATTTATGAAATCAAACCTGTAATCACAGAAATCCTGGAATGCTGTTAATATACTTCTGCTTTGTGTTTGTACTGTGATTTTATTTATAATTGTATATTTTACATTTAAAATAACTTAAGGTTTACATTTATATACTTATGAAGATTGTGCTTTCTATTTGGTAGATGTAGTATTTTTTTCCTCATATCTTAGTTGTTGCTGCTTTAAATTTATTGATTTATTTCGACAGAATCGCCTGGAATGCTTTATCTTCTGAAGCTTATAAATGTACTGTTTGTTCAAATCATAATTTGTTTCACATTCCTTGGAGTAGCTTATTAGTGATTTAAGTAATAAACTCTTTAAGATGTTTTTGTTAAATGATCTCTGTATCTTAATTTCTAAAAGTACATGAATGCATTTTGGGATGTGTTTTTAAGAATTGTCATGTTATAAATTTTAAATCATGCAGTTAACAAGAATGTGATGGGTTATGTGTTTTTTTTTTTTTTTTTTTCTTCACAATTTTGATTTTATTTTTCTGTAACTATTTTTCTAATTATTGGGCTAGTAAATTTGGAAGTTTTGAATATGGTTTATTCCAAATGTTGACTTTTGCTTTAGACTAAAATATCTTGAGCCTTTCTTTTAAAAATATATTTGCAAACTACTTTTGCATATTGAGATAATTTTTGGATGTCTTTCAAATTGAATTGTCCATGTAATTACTAGGTTATATGTAGGACAAAAACTACTAATCGTACACTGATTTTTCTGGAAAGTTATGACAATTTGAAGAAATAGTTTCCCCAGATATATTTGACAGATTATTAAAGATTCAGTTCTAAAATGTTGCTCCCTTGAGTGTATGATTTGCATAGTCTCATATGGGTTTTGGCTTTCTTATGTAAGGTTTGTGGTTAACTTCATTGATCAATGCTTTCTAATGTAGAAAACTGAGCAGTGCTGCCATTCTTTTAATATTTTTACTCTCATCTAGAAAACTACTTGGAAGTTGTTATGAATTTGACTACTTGGAGTTAACAGCTGAATAAGAAGCCATGTATTTAAAGTCTTTTGCCAAGTATTCTGTAAATCATACACCTGATGAATGTCCAAAAATATT